TGTAACATGCCTTTACTGCTTAATATTTAATTATGAATCTAAAATACAATGCAGACAACGTTATAAGCAGATGTAAGAAACACGTCATAAAATATTACTAGTGCTTTATAGTTAGAGGGATGCTTACATTAATATAGAGATGGAAAGAAAGATGTCCAATAATGGGATGTTATCAAAGCACTTGCATTAAATATTCTTTGCAATGCCAGTTTCAAATAAGTATTATTTTACAACGGAGTAATCTGAAATATAGATATCTACAATGACTCATCTGAAACCACACAGCAAAATTCGGCTGTTGAGAACAGCCCCAGGACCCTGACTCTCCAACATTTGTTCCAATTACTAGATCAAAGCAGGTAAGAAACAGTATTATAGGAGACATTTTTTTTTTTTTTTTATTTATTACCAGCAGGGATATATACACAAACTAAACACATAAAGAACAGGATGAAAGGAAAAAGGCAGGATGCTGAACAGGGTGACCATACATTTCAGTTAGGCCAGGAAAGTCCCAGATTTTGTTGGCTGTCCCGGTGTCCTAGCCAATTGGTGATAATGAAGAATGAATTCCTGGATTGGCACCACCCTGCCCTCACTGCTCAGCTTGGCTTGGTTCTACCTGAGCAATAGATGGGAGGCAGGGCCAGAAGGAAGGTGCAGCATTTGAGATTTCCTTAAAAAAAATACAGTCACCTTACCTATGAACCACAGTAAAATGAGATGGGGGAGAGGCATTGCCTAATATAGGCAGGCAAAATGTGTGTTTATAATTCACTTGAAAGACAATTAGCTGCATGTTGTGTGGTTTCAAGAACTTGGGACAAAATATGGGAGAAACAACTGAGACAGGTTTTGTCCCCCTTCTTGCCTCCCCACCATAACTCCATTTAATTTCTTAGGAAAGTGTTCACATTTCAGATTGAAAACTTAAGTGTTACTGTGCTGCTAAAGGTAACAACATTTCAATGAATTTTAAGGGAAAAGAACCTGGAGGATTAAAAAATAGCATGGGTGCAGCAATATTATTCATTCTCTGCTTTTCACATCAAATTCCATTAACAGCACACATAATCCCTATGTAAGCTGTAGTATAAATAACGTCAAAGCTATTTTTCCCCACAATAAATGTAAACATATCCCCCCTAATAAAGCACTACTTTTTATCCTAAAATGGAAAGTTACATTCCTTTTAAGTGATATACATAGCATAATACACTGGGTGTGCTAGACAAAGGGCACCTACACTGCTGTGACATCAGATTTTTGTAGCGTTCTCTTTGAAATGTTGACATTTAACAAGAGACCCTGCGTACAAGTTAATTTTAGGAAAAACTTTATTACTGGGGGTTAAATGCACATCACATTTATGCTGCACATACCTGGTACATTAAGAAAAAATATATTTTGGCACTGCCTCATGTGCCAATGGAATTCCAGCACTCTAAAGGGGAGCTACTTAAATATTGATATAAAACTTTATGTGGCGGTGCTACAGCAACAGAGCACTTCATCTCTGGGGAAACGAGAGGAATAGTTGGGAAGAAAGCACTGGGATATTAAGGAATGACCTACGGCTGGCTGAGAATTGGATGCTTATCTTGCTGGGTCTGGATGCTTATCTTGCTGGGGTGATCTGACCCCAGCTGACTTCCTGCCCCTTGGACAGGGGGGCTGGACCTGATGATCTCGTGAGGTGCCTTCCATCCCTAATGTCTATGAATCTATGAAAAGTAATATTAACACTGGATGAAAGAAAGCTGGATCCTCCTACCTTGCTATAGGTATACCATATAGTAAAGTTTAACAGTGTGATCCTTTTGGGGAGTAAAACTGGAATTACAGGGATAAAATAGAGATCCCAAAGCAACCCTATTTTAAAAGAAAACAACAACAACGTAAGACAAAACTCTGATTTTGCTACAATCACAACCAGGTTGATTCGCTCTCAGGTAACTCCAATTATAGGGCTGCAATTACCAAAACAGAGAAAATGTACTCCTTCCATGCAGTAAATGAATTTCAGATGGATCCATGAAACACAAAACAAAGCTCTGGAAGCTTATCCACATAACTTACTAAGTTGCAACTATTCCTTTCCTTTCTTCCTGGTTAAAGATGCATTGTTTCTATTATGGCTGAATGTTGCACAATAATCATCCATATATGATTACAATATATATGGTCTTGACAGTGTTGCTTATGTTTTCAAAAGTTAATTACTCAGATCTGCTGATTTATTTCCTTAAAAATTTAATGACATGGTCAAATCCTCTATCACAAATCACTGCTTCTACAGTAGTTTGGCCTAAATAAGGAAATGTCTTTAATGACAGTAATTTGATCTGAATAAGTTCCTCCTTCTCCATTATTCCTGCTCTTCC